GAAAAAGGTGAAATCACTACAGACCCAATAGAAATACAGAAGATCATCAACATCTATATCAAAAACCTCTACTCTCAAAGGTTAGATAACACAGAAGAGAGATTTCTAGAAGCATATGAAGTACCAAAGCTAGGTCAAGAAGAAGTAAAACTGCTGAATAACCCAATTTCTATTCATGAAATAAAAAATGTAATTAAGTCATTACCTACAAAGAAGAACCCAGGCCCAAATGGATTCACTGCAGAATTCTACAAGAAATACAAAGAGGACCTAATGCCAACACTCCTCAAACTCTTCAATGAAATTGAAAGGGAAGCAATCCTTCCTAAGTCATTCCTGGAAACAAATATTACTCTAGTACCAAAACCTGAGAAAGACCCAACTGAAAAAGAGAACTACAAGCCAATCTCCCTAATGAACACAGATGCAAAGACCCTCAATAAAATATTGGCAAATAGGATGCAGCAAGTCATCAAGAAGATTATACACCATGATCAAGTGGGATTCATTCCAGGTATGCAGGGATGGTTCAATATACGTAAATCAGTAAATGTAATCCATCATATCAATAGAGTCAAAAGTAGGAATCACATGGTCATTCCTATAGATGCAGAAAAAGCTTTTGATAAGGTACAACATTCATTTATGATAAGAATCTTAGAGAAAATTGGAATAGATTGTCTTTACCTCAACATAATAAAAGCCATCTATGACAAACCAACAGCCAGTATCATACTAAATGGCCAAAAATTGAAAGCCTTTACTTTAAAATCAGGCACAAGACAAGGATGTCCCCTGTCACCGCTCCTATTTAATATAGTATTGGAAATACTAGCCAGAACAATTAGACATGAAAGAAATATAAAAAGCATAAAGATAGGAAAAGAAGTTAAATTATCACTATTTGCAGATGATATGATACTCTACATAGAAGACCCCCAAAACTCCATTGAAAGGCTCCTAGATATAATAAATAAATTCAGCAATATGGCTGGATACAAAATCAATACTCAAAAATCAATAGCATTCTTATATACTAACAACAAAATCACAGAGAGAGAAATAAGAGAAGCCACACCCTTCACACTAGCAACCAAGAAAATGAAATATTTAGGAATTACTCTCACAAAAGAAGTGAAAGACCTATACAGGGAAAATTATAATACATTGAAAAATGAAATTGAAGATCTGAGGAAATGAAAAGACATCCCTTGCTCATGGATAGGAAGAATAAATATTGTGAAAATGGCCATTCTCCCAAAACTGTTATACCGATTCAATGCAATCCCAATAAAAATACCATCAACATACCTCATAGATCTCAAGAAATCAATCCTAAAATTCATCTGGAACCAGAAGAGACCTAAAATAGCAAGGACAGTTCTAAGCAGCAAAGGCAAGTCAGGAGGCATCACAATCCCTGACTTGAAGTTATACTACAAATCAATTGTAGTAAAATCAACATGGTACTGGAATCAAAACAGAGCCGAAGACCAATGGAATAGATTAGAAGATACAACCACAACTACAAACACACTCAACCACCTTATCTTTGATGAAGGTGCCAAGCAGGTTCACTGGAAGAACGACAGTCTCTTTAATAAATGGTGTTGGAAAAACTGGCTCTCCATATGCCGAAAACTAAAACTAGACCCATGCCTGTCACCATATACTAAAATAAAATCTAAATGGATCAAACATCTAAATATTAAAACAGAAACACTATATCTATTGGAAGACAAATTGGGTAAAAACCTTGAAGACATAGGGGTAGGTAGAGAATTCATGAACAAGACTCAAACCGCACGGGGAATACTTCCCAGAGTCAATAACTGGGATCACATCTTATTAAAAAGTTTCTGTACATCGAAAGAAATCTCTAAGATAGTGAAAAGAAAACCCACAAACTGGGAAAAATTCCTAGTGAACTTTCCCTCAGACAAAGGACTTCTGTCTAAAACATACAAAGAATTAAAAAAAAACTGAGACCCCCAAAATTCAAAGACCCCATCCAAATATGGGCATCGGAGATGAATAAATAATTTTCAAATGAAGAAATACAAATGGAAAATAAATAAATGAAAAAATTTTCAGCATCACTAGTCATTAGAGAAATGCAAATTAAAACCACACTGAGATTTCATCTCACTCCTGAAAGAATGTCCAAGATCAAGAAAACCAATAACAAATGCTGGAGAGGCTGTGGGGAAAAAGGAACTCTCCTACACTGTTGATGGGAGTGTAGACTGGTACAACCATTGTGGAGGTCAGTCTGGAGATTTCTCAGAAAGCTGGGACTGGAAGCACCATTTGACCCAGCTATTCCACTCCTAGGCATATTCCCAGAAGAACTGAAAGCATCATACCACAGTGATATATGTGCACCTATGTTTAAAGCAGCACAATTTGTAATAGCCAGATTTTGGAAACAACGTAATTGTCCATCAACTGAGGAATGGATAAAAATTTTGTGGTATTTTTATACAATGGAGTACTACTCAGCTATAAAGAATGATCATATTGAGACATTTATAAATAAATGGATGCAGCTCGAGACAATACTTATAAGTGAAATAAATCAAACTCACCTGTATAAATACTGAATAGTTTCCCTAGTATAAGAAATGATAAGAATACATGAAAGTACGTGATAATCATGATTCCCAGTCACACTGGTTTGAAGCCATATAATGTTTTCACTCATTACTTGGAATAGTTTTAATTTGGGTGTTTTTATTTTATTGTCTGTGATACTACAAATGACTATTTTGAAGAGAATAAGAGCGTAATAGCTCGCGCTGATTTAATATCATCCTGTTTTGAAGCCCCATCAACTTTTTGTTCATTTGTTTCCATTGGTTCTAACATGTGGTACCTTATTACATCTTAATGTATGCGATAGTATAAGCAAGTTTTTTATAGACAAAGAGATAATATAGGAATTGATGTTTGGTTTCTGCTAGCTGGTTCTAAATTCCCTGCAACAATTTCATTCTCTTGAATGGTCTCACACTGTCTTGAAAAATTTGATGCTATAGTATACGAAGTTAGACTCAAATATTTCAAGGAAAGAGTCACTATGGTAACTACTATTAATGTCAAGCTATCTGGGGGTGAAACACAATGATGGTTAAATTTTTCGATTCTGAACGGTGTTGTTATATTGATACGTTCTTTTTTTTAATCTCAGTCTCTCCCCTTTTTCTTTCCTTTTCTTTAAAAAATTAATTTATTTCTTAGTATCTTTTAACTAAGGGAAAATTAAATTAAAAATAGTGTGATAGATTGTAGTAATTTTTTTGTTTTCCTATTAACCTGATTTGAACCCCTGTAGTGTTCTCCATATCTTGTTCTGACTGATTTTATTATATTCTGTTTCACTTAATAGTATCAAGTTTGAGGGTTTAGGCAACCATTTGGAAGGCAACCAGATATTCTATGATGCCCATTATTATTTGACTATTATCTTCTTTGGAACACTGTGAGCTCTCCAATGTGGTTTTATTGGTCTTATGTACAGTTTTGTTCAATTCTTTTATACTAGCTGATATAGGCTACTCTTTTTAGGATAACAAGAGGCATAATGGTAACCATTGTTGATCACCTAGTAACCCCCTCTTTTTTTTTCATTATTTATTTATTTATTTATTTATTTATTTATTTTCATTTTATGCTATGTCCATCCTCCTGATCTAAATGACTCTGTTTTGCTTTGTCACATTGTGTTTTTCTTTGGTCCATCTTGCTTTGTTTTTTGTTTTTTGGCCTTTTTTTTTTTTCAATCTTTTTTCTTTTCCTCTTCAAAAAAAGTTAAAAAAAAAAAACTGTGGAAGTAATGGAAACTAAAATGCACGATTGTTAGTGTAAAAAAGAGAGGAAGGAAAGTGATCTCAAGGATATTACTGCAAGTTTATTTAAATGTGTAGGAAAGAGAACCATATTGCTGAGTTTTTCTTGGATTGAACAGAACTGACTGCAATCTCACTGTATTAATCTCCACTTTGTATGCTTTAATTTTGTAATCTGGACAGCTGTTTGTAAGTTGACAATGTGTGATCTATTAACTGGTGAACTCTTACTGTATATTTTTTCTCTGGAAATTCTGTGTTGCTTCTAGCCTTCCACTGTCTTGCTTCATTTAGTTTTGTTTTTCTCTTTAAATAAAAAAAGACCAATAAATAAATTAATTAAATAAATAATTATTTGAATAAAATTATTCCTGGGTCAGTAGCCTCCATTTATTAAAAAAAGATAGTTTAGATATCCTTTTGTCAAAAATTAAACTAGCATAAGAGACATATTTTTACCATATTTTCAGTTATTCCGGATTTTAAGCTATCTGCTACCTACTACATTTTCTCCCAGACTTAGGTGCTTTGGCTGATTTTATAGTCATAGTGGAGTATTCTACAAAGTGTGTCAAAGTAGAAGTCAAACTGTGAAAATGAAAAAAACAGACACAGAAACTTGGGACTTGCCAACCTAAACAATGATAAACTATGAAGGGAGATACAAAGAATACTGGGAAGAGGTAATGGGACAACAGAAAGGACAGGACAAGAGACAGAGAGATGCTCATTTGGGTGGATAAATGATGAATATATTCCCAGGAAGATGCAGGACAGAGATGGAGCAGAGACATTTAGAATTTTTTGCTCATCTAGATCTATCAATAATGGCTTATGCAAGTGGAGAGATCTTTCAAGCCACTAAGGGATTTTCTGAGCTCATATTAAAAAACCTGAGGATAGCGAGAGAAACTAGGACTCAGGGAGCCAAGAGTCAGTCTGGACATCAGGGCAGAAGGGGAAATGAAAAACGTAGCAGGTGATCCTGGAGAGTGGGAGGAAAATGATTCATTAACACAAAATTTCTATGAGGAAGAGATTGTCATTTGGAAGAGAAAGGAAGTGACTACTACGAAGTACAGAGCATAAAAGAGTTGCTAAACTCAGAGATCAAACACAAACTGAGGTAAAGAAGACCTCTCTTTCAGTGAAATGCTGCTCCTGGCCCTGGCATTTTTTTTCCCAGCTGGTGACACTCAGAACGGTAAGAGGAACTCTGGCAGCTGCTGGCTGTGGAGCATAGGATCTGATAAAGGCAAGCTGTGCTTACCAGGATGCATTGAGGGACCGAGTTCTAATGTCTGCAAGCCACTTCCACTGGAACCCAAGGTTCTGGGGCTCTCAAGATGAGTCAGATCTCATGTTTTCAACAGATTCTGTTTTGTTCTCTTCCTCTCTTACTCTTTCTTCCTTTTCACCACTTTATGCTTCCTTCTTTCACAGTTTTGCCGGGGAAAATTTCTTTCTATGGCATCCAAATCTCAACGTTTTTCAACCATACCGTGGTAGAGAATCGAGGATCAGGCTGGTTGGGAGATATGGAGATTAGCAGCTGGGACAGTGAAAAAGAAACTATCATATTTCGGAAACCCTGGTCTAAAGGCAACTTCAGCAATGACGAGATTTTGGAGGTGGAAGAGATATTTCAAGTCTACTTCTTTGGATTCGTCAGAGAAGCCCAGAAACATATGAGTGATTTCCAGGTGGAATGTGAGCACACTTCTAAGAATGAGGGGCAGGAGATTTTCAAATGCTCTATCTTGTCTTGCCTCAGGCCATGGCCAACTCTTGTCCTTCACTTCTCCCAGTTGCTTTTTCTAGAGGAGTCTTCTCTCATGCTCCATACTCCATAAGGTCTTCCTGAATTTTCTGCCTCTGCACTCATCTCTGAAAGATTAAGGGCTCCACTTTTGAGCAATCCCTGAATGGTCTTATATGAACTTGCACCTTACTTTCCCACACTGTGCCTCTGTGAACTAAAGTGTGCCTTCATCTTTCACTCATTGAGTTCTGCTCTTCCCTGAGCTTTCCTCTCCATATTACCTGTTGGTTTCATCTGAAAACTTGCCTCCTGTTTAGCTTCTTTATCTTCTGCCTCTCTTCTTTCATCTTCCACCCTACATATTCCACACTCCCTTCATGACATGCATACCACTTTCTGATGTGATTTACTCAGACTTTCGAAATGCTGCACTGATTTTAATTCTGCCCACCTTTATGTTTTTCTTTGCTGTTAATAACATCTCTCTGTTTTCCTTTTCCATAGACCCCTTTGAGATTCAGGTCATCTCAGGCTGTGAGGTGAATTCTCAAAGATCCTTTGATTACTTCATGAGGGTAGCAGTAAAGGGATTGGATCTCCTGAGCATCAAGAATCATTCATGTTGGCCTGCCCCAGAAGGTGGTTCTAGAGCACAGAAATTCTGTACATTAATATTGCAGTACAAAGGAATCTGTGATACCGTGGAAATTCTCCTTACAAAAACTTGTCCCAGATATTTGATGAGTGTCATAGAAGCAGGGAAGTCAGATCTACAGAAGCAAGGTTGGTGTTTTTCTATTTCATTTGCATCATTTTCTTTGTTCTAAGTGTGAAAGTACTAGAAGGGTTTACTCAATAACAGTTTTCAATCTAAAATCATAGAAGAAAGAAGGTCCACAATTGTAGGTTTTTAAGTTAGGTGTTCTGGGCTTGAGCTGTAACATGACATTCTGCTTGCCCATTCCTGTCCCAGTGAAGCCTGATGCCTGGCTGTCCCAGGGACCGAGCCCTGGGCCGGGCCTTCTGCAGCTGGTGTGCCATGTGTCTGGCTTCTACCCAAAGCCTGTGTGGGTGATGTGGATGCGGGGTGATAAGGAGCTGCCTGAAACTCAGAAAAGAGACGTCCTGCCCAATGCTGATGAGACATGGTATCTCCGAGTGACACTGGATGTAGCGGCTGAGGAGGCTGCTGGACTGTCTTGCCGAGTGAAGCACAGCAGCCTGGAAGGGCAGGACATCATCCTCTACTGGGGTGAGGAAAGGATGGGGCTCACCCTGGAAATGGTGGGAGATGATAAAAGGGTTAAATGAAGTGAGGGAGCAATAATAAGAAGATATGTTTAGTATTGGGAAGGAGAGGTGGGAGAGGAGGAAAGCGTTTTAGAGAATGAAGCATACATATGAGGTTTAAGGAAGGAATGGGGTCATGTGTGTTTATGATTTGATATGACATTCTCTGCCCTCCATCTGCCCTCCAGGACACTCCATCTCCATTGGCTGGATCATTTTGGCAGTACTAGTACCTTGTTTGATTGTTTTGGTGTTATTTATATTATGGTTTTACAGGCGCTGGTAAGTTTTTATTTATTTTTTTTTTATCATACAGTTTCCTATATTTTCTGCCTTTTACCTTATAACAGGACACTAGCCTCCAACTTGTCCTGGTTTTCTCCTGTTATCTTTAATCCCTTGTGTAAATAACATTCAAGAAATCTTTATAAAATACACAAATTTAAACGTTTTAGGAGTTGTTCATGTGTCAATTACATTCACACATTTTGGAACCATTACCATCTTCCGTCTCCAGTTCTTTCCTGTTGCAGAGCAGGCTCTGCTTTTCTTTTTAGCAGCTCTACATTCTTGTCCTTATTTGGGGTCTTATAACAATCATTCTACATCCCACCTCTGTGTGTTTCACTCTTCCAGGTTTCAGAAATAATAGCATCCACAACATTTTTTGTTTTCTTGCTTGTTCTCTTTCACTTAGTGATATGTTCTCAAGGTTCATACATATTTTAACACATGTGAGAATTTCCCTTCTATCTGTAAATTGCATGGCCACACACTATCTTTCATCCATCCATTGATTCATCTGTGGACACTTTGGTTGATTCTATAGCATAGTGCTTTTCTTAATTTAGATTTAACAATACCTCTTATTTTGAGGTATTTATTTCTATATTTTTGTTTTTTATCTTTACAGGTCATATGAGGATATTTTTTGATCTCCTACTGTCTCATTTCTATGCGCTTGAGTTAGTTCCAGGATGTCTAGAGTCCTGGATCATCAGTACGGGAGTCAATATTCTTTCATTATATCAAATATCCACTTTTTCTGATAACGTCAAAGACACAATTTATTGTAAACTGTGTCACAGTGTATGTTAGCAAAAAGAAACACATATTATTACATTTTGAGCTTCCTATGAATAAAAAATATGTGCCCAGATTTTATCCCTTATTAAGATACTTGTTTGGTATTTCATGGTCGTCATGATGTGTTTTTTTATATTTTATTATATTAATTTGGTGAATTACATTTACTTTCAAGTGGGAAAACAAAATTATGTGTTTGTGAACTATTTGCCTTTTTCATAACTTACATATGTGGATTCAGTCTCTATTTTTTTTTTTTTAGAGTTATTTGTCTTCATTTAGTTCTAAGCACATCCTTGTCAGATATTGGTATTAAAGATTCTTTGACATTGTGAAATAATTTTAAAATACTATTTTGTTTTTAATTTTCTCAGTGTGGGGTGGACTTTGCAGGTGTGTGAGTAATTTTGTTTTCTTTTGTGAGTAATTTTGAAGCCTCAAATTTAGAAATTCTATGTATTGGAAAGCATTTTATAGTAGAAACATTTTGAAATTTTTGTCAGTTATTAATAAGCCAACATGCTTCTCTTCAGATTATACTTTCAGTGGTGTATGAGTGCATGCATATGCTCACATGCAGGTTTATATTCTCCAAATATATTGTGGGGATACCGAGACTTTCCAATGCTTTTCAAAGGTTTGTTTATATTGCCTCTATATCTGCGCCTATAGAGTTTAACCTTATTTACTTTTCCTCTCAAAATTAACATTTTTCTCTTTCTCTCTTGGATTCTTTTTCTTTCTTAGCTTGGGGAGATTTTTCTAACCATTTGGGGTTTTGAAACTGATTTTTGGCTTTTTCTGTGATCGTAATATTTCTTCATTTTAAAGAGAAAAATTAAAACAAAATTTCAAAACATGGTAATTAGGGGGTACCAATGGTTTGTACAATGCATGTTGTTATCATCAAATCATTTACTCAGAGTACAAGGTATCTACATTTATTTGTCTGAAAAATTCTCTCTGAGCTCAATGAAGAGTAAAGTTTGGGCTAGTATTGTTCAGATCATAGCATTTTGTTTCTTCTTTGTGTTTTAACTGCTTTCATATTACTATTTTTGCCACAGTGTTTGCATAAGAGTTCTGAAGTCAACATTTACTTTATGTGTGGATGAAACTGCAGATCAGAGATCTTTGCTCTGTGTTCATTTCATATTTTCTTTCTTTCTTTCTTTCTTTCTTTCTCTTTCTTTCTTTCTTTCTTTCCTCCTTTCTTTCTTTCTTTCTTTCTTTCTTTCTTTCTTTCTTTCTTTCTTTCTTTCTTTCTTTTTTCTTCCTTCCTTCCTTCCTTCCTTCCTTCCTTCCTTCCTTCCTTCCTTCCTTCTTTCCTTCCTTTCTTTTTCTTTCTTTCTCAGAGTTCACAGAAAGCATTTTTCTTAGTACACATTTGCAAAGCATAATCAATACACTCATCAAGGGTTTGGATACAGGCATGGATCCTGCTCTACTCTGTTCATCTCCAATTCTACATCTCTTTTTATCTCTGAAGATCTACCTTTCTATTGGCTGTTATCTGTTTTGTATTTCCATTTATTTTAATCTTTTGATGATGGTCATTATTTCTAGAGTAAGATTAAATCTCTGCTTCTTTTGCTTTGCATTTCACTAATAAAAAATATAAACACTTTTTTGTCATTTTTTGGACACTTGTATTTTGTTTTAAGAGAATCGTCTGTTCATTTCACTTGCAGTTTACATTTGGGAATCTGATACTTTTATTTCCTTTTGTATTCTAGATATTAGTCTTTTTCCAAGGAATAGCTGGCAAAGTTTTATTCTTGTTATATAAGCTGTCTCTTTATTCGGATTGTTGTATTCTTTGCTGTGGAGACACGTTTTAAATTTGAAATAATCACATTTGTTGATGTGGCTGTCTCTTGTGACACGAGGGTTCTATTCAGAAGCTTTTTGCCTATGTCTGTATCTTCAAGAATTTTACATTTCTTCTTCCACTAGATTCAGTGCTTCTGTTTTCTTGATATTCGTCCTTAATCCATTTAGACACAGTGTAGTACAGGGGAAGAGATATGTGTCTAGATTCACAACTCTGAACATGGATAGGCAGTTTTTCCAAGACAATTTGTTAAAGAGGTATCTTTCCTCCATAATACTTTTGGGCTCTTTGTTGAATACCAGATGGTTAAGTACATTGAGATGCTTGTAAAATCCCATTTGTATTCCCAGGATTGCTTTATCTGTTTTGTCTCAGTAAAAATCTGCTTATGTAACTATAGCTTTGTGCAGTCATTTTACACTTGTGATTGTAATGCTTCCAGCTTTACTCTTATTTTTTAATTTTAAAACAAAAGAATAAAAATGATTATACAAAGCTTCAAAACAATAATAGGGGATAAAAATATTTAATATGCTTCATATAGTTGTGTTTGAAATAATTGATCAGCTTATACACATATGATAAAATGAGTAAACCACAAAACTACAAACTGTTCATTTGTTGAGCTAACAGATTAGAATATAATTATGTCATATATATATATATATATATATATATATATATATATATGATATTTTTCACTTCTTTCTTTTTTCCTTTCCCCTTTCCAGTTTTTCCTTCAATTTTTAAACATTTCTTTCACTTTTAGTTATACAATAGCTGTAGTACATTTTGGATCCCACTAAATTCCTCAGGTTTTTATACTAGGGAGATAATGTGTTGTTATTTTCTTTCTTTCTTTCTTTCTTTCTTTCTTTCTTTCTTTCTTTCTTCTTTCTTTCTTTCTTTTCCTTCTTTCTTTCTTTCTTTCTTTCTTTTATGATTTATTTTCTTTATTTTTTTTGTACTGTGATATGAACTCAACTTCATGCTTTCCAGGTAGATGGTGTGCCACTGAGCTATATCTCCAGCACTAACACTGTGTTCACTCATGCACATCTGCCCAATTTCACTTACGAGCATGATTTCAAGTTGCTTCCTTTTTACCTTCAAAAACCTTGAGATTTTCTTTGTTTATATATGAGTTGATCTCCATGGTATAAAAATATCATATGTTTCGTATCCATTCTGTGGGTGTTGGGCAAGATACTCCCTTCTTTTTCTGGTTTCCTGGCACATGGTGCATTGGGCTCCTTTTTCAACCTTCATTCTGTGAATTTCCTTTCAAGTTAAACATGTTTCTTGTATATAGCATATTAAAGGACATTGTTTCTTGACCCATACAGCCAGTGGTTCTTTTTATTGGTGTATTGAGTTACAACTGGCAGGCATTTCCTCATCTCTGCAATGCTATCTTCATGCCATTGTTCCCCCACTTTTCCCTTCCATTCAGTTGCCTGCCCTGCACAGTGATCCCCCTTGGATGCTGTTTCTGGAACTGTGGCCGTCTTTATTGCTCCGCAGAACTGCTTTCAAAACTCTCAGTAGGGTTGGCTTAGTGGTCATGAACTTTTCTGTTGTTCTTTAATGGAAAAATATCCTGTTTCTTCCTAATGAATTAGAGGAAAAGCTTTCAGTTTTTGCACAGTTAGTGTGATGTTGACTGGAGGTTTGTAATAAATGACTTACCAGTTTGAATTGAGGTCCCCGTATACCTATTCTCATCACAGTTTTGATCATTTATGGATGTTGGCTTTTGTCAGTTTCACCATATCTATTGAAATAATTATATAGTATTTATCCTTGTTTATGTAGAGCATTATTCTTATTGTTTATGTACATCATATCATCATTGAACTCCTGGAATGAAGCCAACTTAGTCACATTGTGGAATGTTTTTAGAAATTTGTTACGCTTTGTGTGTCAGCATCTTTTTGCGGGTTTTTATATCGATAGTCATTAATGACATTGACATATAATTTTCATTTTTGTTATGTATCTGCCTGGCTTTGTTACTGGGATGAAGTTAGCTTTTAGGAATGCACTTCATAGGTTTCATGCCTCTCCAATTTTATTGAAGAGATTGATGAATATTGGTGTAAGATTTTCCCTATAATTCTGTTAGAAGTCTTTGGTACATGTATCAAGTCTGAGACTTTTCTTTGTTGATGGAGATTTTACTACTGCTTCTATTTTGCTGCCTTTCTTGGGTCTACATAGAGATTTTAAAAATACTTTTTTTGCATCAGTTCTTCCTCAGTCTGATGTGGGAAGACTGCTTTGCATGGAACTCAGCTGAGTTTAGCAGCCAGTGAGAGTGTGAACATTTCATCTGCTAGCTTGTTGGTCTTTAGTGGCAAGTGGAATGAATTTCCCATGAGTGCTGAGCTATATAGTGTCTGGAAATGTGGAGATTTGGCAGAGAAGCTCAGAGCTTCTCTGAGTGTCATGTGTCATGTAGGTGAAATGTGCCCAAAGCTCTTCTTCTGTGTTTCTCTGCTACCCCTGATTCATTCAGTTACAGCTGTGTTCCCCTGTCTGTGGCTTATTTCCAAGGCCTTATCTAGAGCCAAACAACTATTTCTTACAAACAACTTACCCAAGACTATTTTATCCTGACAATTTTGTTGCCCTCTCATTGATTTTTCCTGCTCCCTTAAGTGCTCTAATTTGAGTGGTCTCCCTCCTCTGAGTACCTCAGACATGGACCTCATTTCTAAGTGGCATGGGCATACTGTGGGTGGTGAATGCTTATATTCACAGAGATCACAGCTGCCTGCCTCACTGGCTGACACATGTCTGGTCTTGTGTATCCTGTCACTTCACATGGGTATATTTCCTGGACACCAGAATTCTCATCTCTGTTCTCTTGCTTTAGTTAGATTCCAAAGATTATAAACAGGCCATAGTTATATCACTAAGCTTCATTCTTTTTTGCCCAGCTTTGCTGTAGAGATCACACACATTCACAAAATGTGTATCCTCAGGCTGTGCTCTACAAGTGATACCTGGACT